GCCTTTTTAAATAGATCTCAGCTAACCAGGATGACCGTGTTATCTTAAATGAATTCTAGAACTTTATGCTTTGCGATTCTGATTCAGTAGGTAGTCCACTGGATCTATATTTTTGGTAAGTATTGCCATAAAATTGGGGTGGGTAATCATCCAAAAATCACTGCCTACTGTTGACTGAGAAAAATGAGGCCTGGAGAGTGGAATGGACTAGTCCAAATTCACATAGTAAAAGAATAGCTGACTCTAGGCTCCGTTCCAATCTTCTGAAGTCACGAAAACAGGACTCCTCCTATGTCACAGAAGAGCAGGATAAGGAGATTGTGAAGGTCCTCCTGAAATATGTGATTTCACATCTACAAGTGTCTTGTCATGTTATAACCATTTTCCTCATATGGAACCATACAAGAAAACATTTTTAAAGTTATATCTGAAGGAAATGTCTATTAATGTTCTTCCTCTCTTTATAAAATCAAGGAATACATTTAACTTTACATTGACTTATATTGCCTATTTGCAAATTATATTCACTAGTCAGTGCTCTATTTTGTCCTTCTTCTGAAGAGATTATGATGAATAAATGTGCTCTTGGAAATAATAATTTTTAAATGAATGAAATACACAGAGTTGTTGTACCAAAAAGAATTGGTTCAATCATTTCAAGAGGTACCATATAATCACGAACTGATGGAAATGAAGTAAGAAGTCATAACTGCACTGAAGGCAATAACATAAAAATATAGCTATATTAATTGATGGCTATCAAAACAAAATGTTTGAAAGACACAATACAGTACTACAGGCACTCACTCCTATATTTCAAGAAATTTCGAAGATAGCTACCTGGCCGTGACTGGAAAATATCCATATTTGTGCATGTTTCAAAGACAGGCAACCCAAAGGAGTGTAGAAATCATCTAAAAATATCATTGCTATCACATACAAGCAAAATTTTGCTGAAGACAACTAAAAAACAATTGCAGTAGTGCATTGACAGGGATTGGCCAGAAATTCAAGGCAGATTAAGAAAAGAATGTGGAATGAGGGGTATCATTGTTGACATTAGATGAAGATTTGATAAAAAAAATAAAATACCTCAAAGATGCTTATTTGTGCTTTATTGACTATGCAAAGATATTTAACTGTGTAGATCACAGCAAACTATGGAAAACATAGTGAAGAATGGATATTCAGAACAATAAGTTATGCTCATGAGGAACTTGTACATAGAGCAAGAGGCAGTCATTTCAAGAGAATAATTATATGGAATGGTTTATAATCAGATATTTGGAGCTGTATCTCTTCATTTTGAGTTGTGCCCCATCAGCAAATGAATTTCTGGAAGCTTTACTCCATTTGCTTCATTGTGGTCAACTCTAGTTTGAGGATGCTCCTATTCCCCCTTTATATTTTGAGTGGCTTCCAACCTGAGGCACTCATCTTCTGACACTATACTTCACAATATTCTGGTATAATTCATCACATTTCAATATTCTGCTGCTGACAGTATACCACTGATTTCCATAAGGTTTTCAGTGGCTAACAGTTCAGAGTCAGAGATGTGCAGAGTACTGTTCTATTCAGAACTGCCTATCCTCAGCTGTGCCACAAACAGACCTCTTATGCCCATACAATGTTACAACGCCTTTAGGGTTACTGATAAGTGTTTACAGGGAACAACACTCTACCATAAGCCTCAGTCTGAAGGTACTGGACTCTAGTTCCATGAGTCAGCAAACTCATTCCTCAATTAACTGCCTGGAGGGACCTCACTATATCAGGAGTTGGCTCAGATGATCTTGCTACAAGGGAAATCGGTGAAGATCCAGAGGACACGTGGCTACATAAGTCCACCTCTACACCTCCACCATGTTATTTGTTGTTAGGTACTTCCTTAACTATAGTGCATATAAAGTCCCCTGAACCTACATGGAAGGAATTAAGAGGATATCTAGGAGTGTGAAAGACTGGACACTTATCAAAAAGAGTCTAAGCCATCAGAGAAAGTTTAATGTCATCAGTAAAGTCTAAGATATCATTACCTGTCAAGTTAAAATAAAATCTATCCTGACTCTCTTGTACTAAACAGAATAAAAGTGTTTAAGACTAAAAAGATTCATTAAAGAAAAGAAATGTCAGTGACTTTCTCACCCTGTATATCAATTCTTCCTATTCTTTCACAGAAGCCTCTTGTGCCACCTCACTTGCTTGAAAGATTTCAATTCTTATTCCATCATTTCCTAGTGTCTTGTTCTTTGTCAATTCCTTCAATGTACCTTGGACTTCTTCCTTCACTCCTTCCACCACTCATCTGTCAGTTTGTCGTACTCTGGTGGCTTGTGAGTTGTTGTGATTCTAAAAATTATGCCACTGGTATTATAAATACCAGCAGGGTCACCCATGGTGGACTGGTTTCAGATGAGCTTCCAGACCAAGACTTACTAGGAAGAAGGAGTGACGAACTGCTTCTGAATATTTAGTCACTGAAAACCTTATGAATAGGAGAGAAACACTGAACAATTATATGGGCAAAATATTGAATGATATATAAAGCATCAAAAGAAAATGGAATGACTATGCAGAGTCACTGTATCAAAAGGAAATGGATGATATTCAATCATTTTAAGAGACAGCATGTGATCAAGAGCTATCTTGATAGCATAGGATACTGTAGGAAGAAGTCCAAGCTACTCTGAAAACATTGACAAAGAAGAAGATTACAGGAGTTGATGGAAAGCAAATCGAAATCGTTCAACATACTGATCCAGCACTGGAGGCACTCACTCAGCTATGCCAAGAAATTTGGAACATAGTTCCCTAGCTAAATAATTGGGATCCATATATGTGTCCATTCCAAAGAGCGGTGACCCAACAGAATGTAGAGATCAACAGGCATATCATTAATATTACATGCAAGTAATATTTTCCAGAAATAATTCAAAAACTGTTGCAACTATACATTGACAGGGAACTGCCAGTCATTCAAGCTGGATTTAGATGAAAATATTATAAATGAGATGGCATTACTGATGTCAGATGGATCTTGGCTGAAAGGAGAGAATGCCAGAAAGATGCTTACATGTGCTTTATCGACTATGCAAAGGCTTTTGATTGTGTAGTTCATGACAAGCTATGGACAACATTGAGGAGAATGAGTGTTCTAGAAGACTTAATTGTGCTCATGAGGAACCTGTACATATACCAAGAAGCAGTCATTTAAACATAACAGAGGGACACTGAACGGTTTAAATTTAGGAAAGTTGCATGCCAGGGTTGTATTCTTTTGTCATACTTCTTCAATCTGTATGCTGAGCAAGTAATCAGATAAGATGGAATATATGAAGAAGGACATGGCATTAGAATCGGAAGTAGGCTCATTAAAAACCTGTTTTATAGTAGGCAGATTATTCAATCTGGCTTGCTGAAAGCAAAGAGAATTTAAGTACTTCCTGATGAAGATCAAAGACAACAATCTTCAGTATGGGTTGTACCTCCAGGTAAAGAATACAAAATCCTCACCACTGGACCAATAAATAAAATCATGGTAAATGAAAATCTGGTATGGTATTGTAGGATAAACGCTGGATGGCTAACCACAAGGCTGACAGTTCAAATCCAAAAGTCACTCCTTGGGAACTCTATAAGTGTTGCTATGAGTCACAAATATTTCGATGACACTTAAAAATAAGAAAATGGGACAAGATTGAAGTTGTCAAAGACTCCATTTTTCTTAGATCCACTCTCAACATTTATGGGAGTAACAGTCAAGAAATCAAATGACCTATTACATTAGGGAAATCTGTGCACAAGGCCTCTTTTAAGTGTTCAAGAGCAAAGGTGTCAGTTTGAGGACTAAGGTGCACCTAACTCAAGCCATGCTATTTTCAGCTTAATATGCTTGTGAAAGTTAGACAGTGAATAAGGAAGAACGTAGAAAAACTGATGCACTTAAGTTATGGTGTTGGAAAAGAATATTAAAAATACCATTGACTGCTAAAAGAATTGACAAATCTGTGTTGGAAGAAGTATAGCCAGAATGCTCCTTAGAAGCTAGCATGATGAGACATTGTCTCTCATATTTCGGACATGTTATCTGGAGTGACCCATCTCCAGAGAAGGACATCATACTAGGTAAAATGGAGGGTCAATGAAAAAGAGGAAAAGTCCAATGAGACTGATTGGCACAGTGGAGGTAGTAATGGATTTAAGTTTAACAAATTGTGGTAATGACTCTAGACTGGGCAGTTCTTTGTTCTTTTGTGCATAAGGTCACTATGAATTGGAACCAAATCAACAGCACCTAACAATGACAACAACAACAACAACAACAAGATGTCTTTAAAGGAGCCCTGGAAGTGTATTGGGATATGTGTTAGGCTGCTCACTGCAAATTCAGTAGTTTAAACCTACCAAAACAGTGCAAGAAAGATAGCATTTTCTGCTCTCATTAAGGTTTTACAACCACCAGCCACAAATGCCTCTAGATCTGCTTTGTGGAATAAAGTAGACCTCAATAAAAATGTACAGTCATATTCAGTATATTCAGGGATGAATATATTCAGTAATGAACAGTCATATTGAAGTGAACTCATACTCCAAGGTAGTTTGTCGCAATGCCATCATAGAGTAGGAACTCAGAAAGGACAAGATCTAATATTTGACTCTTTATTTAGAATTAATTTCAAATTTACCAAAGAGCAGCATGAGTAATAATAATACAAAGAATATCCATATATATCATCGATGTACAACTATCATTAAATTTTCATCTGTTTGCTTCATCATTTCCCTCTTTTTTATTGATAGTCCATTTGACTTTTCCTTCTAAATATTTTCATTATACATCTTTAAAGAATATGGTTATTTTAGTACAGAATAGTCAGGCAATGCATGCAAATAGTAACTTTAAAATGATTAAAATGTGATGAGACAATGTGATATGAGAATCTAAGGAATAAAATTACTGAGACAGAATGATAAGAAAGTGTTACTACCAAAACACCTTACTTTATACTTTCTTGAAAGACTGGTCCCACATTCAACATTTTCTTCAGAGCCCCTGTGACATCTTTATTCCTGAGACTATAAATTAAAGGGTTTAGAACAGGAGTGAGAATGGTATAAAAGAAAGATACTACCATGTCCTTCTCTGGGGTGTGGTAGGAGCTGGGGATCATATAAGTGTAGATGGCAGCCCCATAGAATAGGATGACCACAGTCATATGGGAGGAACAGGTGGCAAAAGCCTTCTTTCGGCCCTCTGCTGAGTTCATCCTGTGGATGGTGATTAGAATGAAAGAATAGGAGCTTGAAATGACTGTCACAGGGATGAGGAGCATGAGGACACAGCACAGGTACATGAGTGTCTCAATGAGTGAGATGTCAGAGCAAGAGAGCTTCATTATAGCAGGTACCTCACAGAAGAAATGATGGATCTCCCTAGATCTGCAGAAAGGGAAGGTCATGGTGATGGGAGTGAGCATGAAGCCATCCACTGAGCCCAAAAACCAGCAGCCAGATGCCAGGAGAAGACATATTCTGCGATTCATAAGAACAGGGTAACGCAGTGGATGGCAGATTGCCATGTATCGATCATAGGCCATGGCAGCTAGAAGGAAGAATTCTGATCCTACTAGTGTCAAGTAAAGGAACATTTGTATTCCACATTCAGGAATTGAAATATTTTTGACACCTATGACCTGGTCCATAAGCATCTTGGGCACAGTGACAGAAATGTACATTATATCCATGAGAGACAATTGGCTGATGAAAAAGTACATGGGAGTGTGGAGGTTGGCATTAGAGTGTATCAGAAGGACCAGGATGGCATTTCCAGATAAAGCCATCAGGAAAATCACAAAAATGACCACAGAGAGAAGAACTGGGTGTTTGGATTGACTGAAGAATCCCAACAGGATGAAATTGGACCCTCTAGTATGGTTGGCCAGCCACGTAATATTGTCCATGAGGTTTCACCTAGGACAATAAGGAAAGTTTTGAAGTTACAGATATCACTTATGAAAACATGATCTTCTGAAATGTATGTTAAATGCACGTGTTTGTGTGCATACACTATAACAACCTGATGCTGTTAACAGAAGAAACACACCTGGATTTTAGAACTTCTTTAGGGATTTGTAGATTATAAATCACTTGTAACTCAACAAATTTACCTGAAAAGATTAGTGAATTCACAACTGTGGGTTGAAAGAATTGGTAGTTAAAACTGAAGTTATCACAGTTCAAGGTAATGACGTTTCCTGATGGAGGTGTCCTCTCTCAATATTTAATAGAATTTGAAGAGTCATTGCCCTATGCAATACAAAGAGAAGAGAAATTGAGGAAAAGAGAAAGAGAGAGATAAATAAAAGTCCTTATTCTGAAATGTTTGTTATGGAAGTAGGAATTGAATTACCTCACTGCATTAAGGACCCAACTGGAATTTTGACATACTCATGGCATGTCTGAAAATCCTTCAGAAAATCCCAAGGGGAAGAGGATAAGAGGCACATACTCAGTAGACAGACTGTGATCTTGGATTCAGCTTCTGCTCTATCTTCACTATAAATTACTTAACCCTCCATTTCTCTGTATACAGTACATAAAGACAAGAATACAATTTCACCCTAATATGCGGTGAGCATTATATTAATTAAGATAATGGTAATACTTAGAACATTACCTGGCACAGATGAATAACCACATAAACTGTTAGTTAGGAGTGCTATTGTGCAAAATCTATTACAAGTTGCTCTCACTACTTTTGTCTAATAAATTGAGATGAATTACTTCATTACTCCAATTTCAGAACCATAGTCATGTTTTTAAATTTTGGGATCTGAAAATGTTTGTATTTCATTAACTTGTTCTTTTTTGTTTGTTTATACAAAAAAAAAAAAATGAGCTCTTATAAGAATTCCATTTCAGTATTGTCAACTACATGTTCAACCAACATGAAATTTACTTCCATTATTTCTTACTATTTCCTCTAAATTTCAGGGGGAAATGAAGAATTAGCATTCAGAGCATCACTGAAATTTACCAGATTAGGGTTTAGTTGTTTTAATAACACTGTCAACTTTATTGCTCCTCACAATCATTCTTTCATGGAAACTTAGATGCAGAAAGAGAAATTGAAAAACACTGAGTGCTTCTGGTTCCAATTTATTGCATTCCTCCTCTATCTTGCTAGTTGCAGCCTGTCTCTGTGTTAGACCCTGAACACAATTCAAAGATAAATTCTAATTAATTGCATTTAAGAAGCAAAGTCTATTTGTTATTGTTAAGTGTCCAGTAGGCTCCAATCCGTAGCTATCTTGTATAGAGTTTCTTAAGAGTGACTGTGGGTTTGAACTACCAACCTTGTAGTTAACACTCCAATGCTTATTATACAGAGACATATCTGTTATTCAGGGGGTAAATAAAACCTTTTGTAAGTGTGATTTAAAGTTGAATTAAAAATGATTACAAAATAAGTAAGAAAAAGAGATAGAATCAAAACACACCTGGCCTTTCTAAAATTAATCGATAATAGGACCATATACATTTTCACTTAAGAATAATTAAACCTTTGAAACTTTTCAGTCTTTCAAATATTACATTTTTTTAAAAGTCCTTACCAGCAGGAAGGACATATAAGGTTTTCTTGATGGGAAGAGTTTACAAGGTTATGATGCAGTGATTTTTACACTTGCAATAATTCTAAAGAGTCCTATTGTGGAACTGTAGGATAAAGCACTAGTGAACAAGGTCAGCCTTGTCCAGGGCTTTATCCAGCAAAGTAGAACATTGAAAGCCACCAGCCACTCCTTGAAAACTCTATACAGAGTAGTTATGAGTTGGAACCAACTCAGCAGCACTTAACAACAATGATTCTAAATACTACTTATAAGAGTCAACTTACTACATATCCTAAATTCTGGTGTACTGCTACAGTAAGCAATGCTGCAACCAATTAGATGTAATTATCCAGAAAATCAGGAACACATTGTATAAACAAAATTATAATCTATTAAACCCCATTCCCACTGGCAGATGGATGCTGGATTATGTGCAAAAGTTGAAAGCAAATCTATAAACCAAAAAACACACCTGCTGGTCTAGTCTTTATGTGTGGTCAAAATAAAGTGAGAATTCTTGCAGAGAGCATCACTCATGAAGACCTTGAAACTTCTATTCGCTGAATAACTGAAGTGGGAAGATGGAGGAAGAGCAGGAGGGCAAGGGATGGATGTTGGGAAATCTCTCCTATAGTTTGACAAATGGGTCACTGAAATCAAGCTGAGCTAAATGGTCCACCTTTGCCATAAGATGAATGAGTGGATGCTGAGTCTGCATCTCCTTGTTCATTCTTACTCGTCTCAGTCCAATTGCTTGAATATAGCACCAACAGCTTGTTGCATGTTTAACTTGTTGTTGTTGTTGTTGTTGTTAAGTTCCAACCCATAGAGACCCTTTCTAGGGTTTCCGAGAAGCAACTGGTGAGTTTGAACAAGAAGCTTTGTGGCTTAAATCAACTTCTCAGTCCAGTGTATTAAATCACAGCACCACACCAAGACTCCCTGTTTAGCTTGTTGTTGTCATTTAGTGCCGTCGAGTCAATTCCAACCCATAGAGACCCTGTATAAAGTTTCCAAGGAGCAGCTGGTCAGCTTGAAACACCAACCTTGCAGTTCAAATGACTTTTCAGTCTGACACATTAGCTAACAGCACCACATTAGGACTCCCCTGTTTAAATTTGTTGCTGTTGTGAAGTACTGTTGAGTCAATTCTGGCCCGTAGCAACCTTGTATAGGGTTTCCGAGGAGCAGCTGATGAGCTTGAACCACTGACCTTGCAGTTTAAACTGACTTTTCAGTCTGATGCATTAGCCCACATTGCCACACCAGGACTCCCTATTTAACTTGTTGTTGTTGTTGTTAAGTGCCGTCGAGTCAGTTCCGACCCATAGCAACCCTGTACAGGGTTTCCGAGGGTGTAAATCTTTACGGGAGTAGAAAGCCTCATCTTTCTCCCGCGGAGCAGCTGGTAGTTTCGAACCGCTGACCTTAAGGTTCACAGCCCGACTTGTAACCACTACGCTACCAGAGCTCCTACTTGACTTAGGGATCCATTAATAGTGGCATTGATACAATATAGAACCTGTATTTGGAGCTCACTACATCTGAGAAATTGTTTCAGTACTTTGCCACCTAATCTTCCCCTAGAACTTACGATAAACTTTTTCTTGTTTTCTACTTACACAGATTTGAAAATTCAGGACCTCTGCCTTTCTACACACGATCACACAAGTGGCCAAAAGGAAACATCTTCTCACCCATGCAGGGCCTAGAGTCTATAACTATCTCAGTGTTCTCTGGGATTCAGTTCTAACCCACAAGAGCCCTTGATTTGGGTTTCAGGTCACCCACTCTTAGTTTCTTCAGAGATACAAAAATATGACCCAGACATTTGTTTCTACTGATTCTTTTCAGAGAATCAACCAATTGGGAAGTAAAATCAACCACTTCTCTGAAAAATTTCAGTCTCACAAAAACATCACCTCAAAATGTAGGAAGAATAGATAATATTTTGTACTTAAAACAAATCCAAGACCTATTTTCTTGTATGTTGCAGTAAAGAAGTATTTTATAAAGAGCCTCAAAGGAAAAGCAAAGTGCATTTTCTTTTCTCCATAAAAATAGATAATAAAAAGAAAGGCATTGAGGATATATCAAGAACTCCTAGGATGCATCAGAGCAGAACAAATATTTAAGGATATTGATTACCCTTTGATTCTGCAGTTCTGTCTACATGTCTGCTTGAACCACCACCGGATAATACATGACCTCTTCCAGCTGGATAGTGGAATGTGGTCATAGTTAAGCTTGCAAAGATAAGTGGAGAAGTGACATCACTCTGGGTTTTTTTCTGCACATTTGGGGAGTGGAAGCAGGTTTCTCTTGACAAATCTCCTCTGGGACATTAAATAATGCAATTAAGATGCTTAGACAAGCTAATACATATCTCTATTACACTTTTTTGAGCTTCTCATATACTTTTTATCTCCTTTTATTGTTCGACTTAATGTGCATTGAAATCTCAACCAATATTGATAATAATCTTAAATCTTATTGTTATCAATAAATGCTTATCTATTAATTATGAGTTAATTTCCTGGTGTGGCCCTGTAAGACAAAGCACTGGACCACAAGGACACTTTGAACCACAAGGTCGGTGATTCAAACTCACTAGTCACTGTTGGAAACTCTATGCAAGGTCACTATGACTTAGAACTGACTCAACGACACTTGACAACAACAACAATTTAGATATATGCTGTCATTTTACAACATTTGTATGTGCATGGATCCTCATATAATCTGTTTTTTAAAAAGGTTTTGGGGGGCCTTCTGTGAAACATAGCAGTCTACTTGGACCGTAATACAAGCATAATTAAGTGAAGGAATTAGAGGAGGTTTTTCCTGAAGAGGAAATTTAAAAAACTTAAATTTGGTGAAAGAGTTGGATGACTTTCCAAAGTTTCCTGAGACTTCAGCCAGTGGTGGTACAGTTTCTCTAATAGTATTTAATGCTATGGCTTTATTAACCACAATGGAATTTTCAGTGTATCAAGATATATGGATGAAATATGAATATGAAGTAGACAAGGACTTCTCTAGCAAATTGTGAATCAATATAGATATTATTGTTGCCATGAAGTATCAGTCTGTTGGAGCAGATGTGTTGGATTTAGCAGAAACAATGGTGGCATCTGCAGATTATCTAGTTTATGAACCAATGATATTTGATCTTTCACCACAGCAAAAAGAGTTGCAGAAAATGCTGTAGCTGATACAGAGTAGGCTGAAAGAAGAGCATTCACTTCAAGATGTGATATTTAAAAGTGATTTTAAAAGTACATCAATAACAACAACAAAAAGAACATCAGCAACACTTCCATCAAAGGAATATGATTCCTCATAGC